AATTTTAATTTAATTTAGGATGAAAAACGTAGCTCATTTTCTAGTTTGACAGAAGTCGTAAACCATTTATTAAATATCAGAATCGAATAAATTAGCTGCATGATGATTACAGTATTAATAAATAAACAGTATTACAGTACGTTCATCGGCTTGTAAAATAATGCTATCAGAGCTATTAACTCACAAAAGAGAACGTTACGCAAAGCGTCAAAGACTTCATCCGATCATATATTCCGGAAGTTCTTCCGCTAATTCTAATTCATCCTTACCGTTACCATCTATACGTCTTGGTAGCAATTTAGTTTCCCACCTGCATGAACATAAAGCGGCAATTACTAAGTAAGTTTAATCTTATTTTGAGAATATTATATGTAGTCTAATTATTTCTTGAAATTATTTCATACCTAACTGGCTTAAATACTTTTCATTGTTCAGAAGCCGCACAAAAAGCTGGTGGGATACTACTGTTAGGTCAGTATAAAAACTGGAATAAAATATTTTTTCAGATTAGCACAAAGTCCAAACGGCTGCTATTTTGCAAGCTCTGGTGCTGATGGACTTGTCAAACTATGGTCGTTGAATCGTATACAGGGAGATCTGAGTATGACTGTACGGGCTGATGCTACTTTTACTTATGGTGGTAAGTTTTCTTGATTTAAATTACAGTTCATATACTGTAATTAGTTTTAGGAAATATGTTTATTATCTAATAATGTCTTTAAAACTTATTCAAATATTCTGATTATTATTTTGTTTGTTTAACTGTTTCTTTATTTTCACAAACCTAAAAACATTTTAATATCGAATAGACTTGCATAAGAAATTAAGGTTTGTTGAATCTCTATGTTTAACTTAAATCTGGATGTTGTAAGTCTCGATAAGTCGAGAAAGCTTTTTCTTTTGTTGTTTTCTGCCATAACTGATTTTGAGTTGTTTCCTGCCATAGTTCAAATTTTTTGCTGATCCTGTAAAAATAATATTTGCGAAAGGAAAAATTAACATTCAAATTTTCAAATTCAAATTCTAGGTCGGGAAATTAGTTCGGTGCAGTTTTTGGGACGAACAGGGTCGCACCTAGCTATTGCAAGTGAAGACTGTCGTATTAGCGTTATCGATGCTGAACGGATGCAGCTTTTAACAAAGATTAGTTTCGATAAGGAGGGAGAAGGTCCGCCAGTTGATATTATCGCCGTTGATAATCTTCTCTATGTTTTAACCCATCACAGCAACATTTTCTGTCTTGATTGCAGGTAATTTTACTTGAAATTTTTCGAAATGTATTATGATCACTTTGTCTCTTTATTTCTCCTCTAATATGTATGCTTGAGATGATGAAATTTCAATTTTAACTTTGGAGAAAGTGAATGAAATACCACTTTTAAATGCATATTTCAACATCAATAAAGGATCAGTCTAATATTCAATATTGAGATTTATTATAATGTAACTTTAGTCCCTATTTAATTCCTTTGCAATCCAGCAACAAACTTATCCCTAATATGAGCAGAAACAGCAACCTAGTTTGTATCGTCTGCTGCAAGCTGGTATTTAATACACGTATAAAACAGTTTACTTAGTAATCATATGCAACCTATTTATTAGTGAATGTTTGTCCAGCTAATATTTCCAGTTTGACGATTCAGATGCGAAATAGTCTATGAAAAATTTATGTCCACAATACTTGGCTATGACATTTTAAAATTTTATATGATGAATATTATCGTCTTCTAAATGATTCTGTTTTGTTTTGCACTTCTGATTTACGATTCAGAAAACGTTAAAATAAAATTTGCTCATATTTGACTAATCGTTAATTAGCCATCTTAGGATACCAACGTATGAGAGAGCAGTTTTGGGCTGTAAGCCCAAAGTAGTTTGGCGACATCGAATCAAAAATGAATATGGTTTGATAACATCATTTTGTATCGATCCAGTAAGCCAAAATTGGATGTGTCTTACGTCAACCAGTCGTTATATCATTCTGTGGGATCTAAGGTAGGCATTTTATTTTATTATTTGCTGCATTTGAGATAGGTTATTTAAAAATGCCAGTTGTTCATTCATTTTTAAAGAGACAACACACTTTTTAACGGTTGAAATTTGGAGTTCTTAGAATTTAATACATCTTTGTTTTTTCACAATTTGATAACGAAATAATGCAACTGTCCACTTTTATTAGTTTTCATTTCCTTTAATCTTACAGTTAGAGTACGTTCAAATAAGAGGAAAGTCTTTTTTTTTCCTTTTTTGCTACACTAAGGAAAGACACGATGCGTTTTGGAGTGTTTTTTTTTTCTATATTTGCAGCTGGTGGTAAGATGATTTGTGGAAATATTTCTAAAATTTTATAATTTATGGTATGAATTGCCTTATTTATTCGTATTTATTCAACTACTAAGTTTGATTTATTCGACTTACTTAATCTAACTCAGTCGATTTAATTACTTAGTTTTAATCCCTTGAAATCTAATTTATTTATGCTGTAGGTTTGGAGTTGAAGTAAATAGTTGGCCACATCCTAACGATGCATGCCGAATGCTACGTTGTTGGCCGGCATATCCGACAGTGAATGAACATACTAGTAGTTCATGTGCAGAAATTTGGACAGCATCATCGTGCGCATTCGAACTAAGTCGTTGGAAACTAGAAACAGCGCAAAGGACACATGTTATATGGTCTTCCTCCAAAAAGCCTCTCCAGTATTCCACAGTATGCTAATCGTTTATTCAAAAATTTTTTTCCAAGCAGCTGTTTTATGGCTAAAATTAAATCTTTCCATTATAATTTCATCATATTGATTTTTGATTTTTAGTAGTGAATATTAAGTTAAAATATATTATCCTAGTGCCAAAAGATGTATGTAGAAGTAAAGCAAATTGATTTGGCACCTATGTTTTGTCAATGCATTAAGATTTGATTACATATATAATAGGTTTTTTAATTCTGGGATATCTCAAAATTTTTATTTTTCAGAAAGATAAGCATGTCACTGCTGCATTGGCTATTTGTCCATTAACGGGTCGTATTTTCACAGGTGATAGTTTGGGTACCATCCGATCATATAATTTATCAGATCCAAACGAATGTTTTTATCTTTCTGGGTCACTTCGGCGAACCACCGAAGCCGTTTCTTCATCGTTATCTGAACATTTCGCTTCCATCCGTTATAGTAAATCTGTAATCGATACAGTAGAAGTTTTGAGTGAAACAATTAGTGGTAGGACTGCCGAACCACTTTATGCTGTGAATCCACTTGAAGTGCAGGTATGATTTTCATCTAAAATTTTAGCGCTTTTCGTTTTTTTTACTGCAAAGTGTTCTAATTTATTTAAAATATTGTGTTCAAATTTATTCCTATTTGAAGAACTTTCTCTCTAAGTTAGTGAGCTGTTATTTATTTTTACCAACATATTTCCTATTTTTCTAGTTGACGGTATGCCACAAAAGTCCGATCACCGATCTTCTGTGCTGCGGAGAATATTTGATTTCATCAAGTCGGGATGGTGTTATCAAAGTGTGGAAATAGAAAGCGACAAAACATTTTTAATTACGGAACTAACAGTTTTTATTTAACCATGTGGCATCAGATAGCTATTTCCATTAATTCAATCGAGATTACTTGTTTGAATTATGTACTTTATGTATGCAAGCTATTATGTATTTTTTTTAAAGGCTGTAAATTATACACTTGGCCATATTTCTGTACATTTATTTTCAGAATTTTTCAATATATATATATATATATATATATATATATATATGTATATGTAATTTAGGGAAGGGAATGACTAGTGCGATGGTTGACACTCATAATTCAATAAAGAGTGATGTAATTTGGGCTGAAATTATATTCTTCTTCTTTATGTATCTGTAATATACTTTTTTCGGTATGTTGACAAATTTTTTTCTAGTCAATAGCAGCAAGTGATCCTTACAGCACTGAGCTTTCTATTTAGAAATTCATGTGTGCTGAAAAAATTAAGTGACTTATGAAGTTTATGTATGTTTTTTAGGGTTTCATTTCCAGTTAATTTTTGTTTAGTGTTGAGATATAATAATTAGATAAGTTTATTACCAATGTAACTTTTTTTTTTTTTTGTAATGCATAATTGTTAAACTTGTTATAACTTAGCTATAGGATGCACTAAACAAAATGTTTTAATGCATCGTAGATTCTTTTTTGGAAAATGAACATATGTGTACTCTTCTTTTTCATCACTCAGTTCATTTTTTCTTGCATATAGAACGTGTTTTGCCATTTTAATGAGTTCCGAAATATCCACTTTATAAATAAAAAAAGAAAAATGCTCGGTTTTATTTGTTTATTTTACTTTAGGTGATGAGTGTGTATTTATCCGTATGTTAATATGTATATCAGTTATTGATTCTGCAATAAGTGTCAGTTTTTTGAATGGATAAATTGTCTTAGTTTTTGGAAATTAACCGATTTATTGACTGGATGCGAAACTGAACGATCTCTTCTGGGAGGGATACATGGAATTTGGAATGTATTTTGTTGTTTTGATCGTTTACGTTGTTCTGGATTTAGGTGAGCAGTAAATGTGTTATAATGAAAACCATCATCAAGCCTTTTACTCTCTTTTCATATCTTGCATTTGTTTGAATATGACGATTACGGGAAATGAAAAGCAAGATTTTAGTAATTTAATCCATTAAGTATAATTCGTCTCTCTAAGATGTATAGCTTTATGTTGATTGCTATGAGGACATTGTGCATTTTGTTTTAAAAAGCGAAGTGAAATATTTTAAATAGTTCGATAAATCATTTATTTGTTGCAACTAAATAAATAATACAATAACTGTTGTTGTTTAACTGATGATTAATCTTAGCTGAATAGCATATAATCGATAATATCCATGAAAGCAAAGTGTTACATTGGCATTTTCGGATAATTTCAAAAGTTTTTTTTTTTATACCTTTTTTCTTTACAATTGTAAAATTCACATAATTGTTGAATGATGTTTAAACAAATGTAACTTTAGGAATAATTTCCATATTTATTGGTAGATTTAAGCCATTGACGATTCAATGGTGAATAATAAGTGAAATAGTTTCGATAATACAAATAGCGTGCGTTATCATTATATCCGTAATGATGCATGCTGTAGTATGATGGATAAATGGATGGCAAATCATATCTGAAATTTCCGCTTTTGTTTGCTGATTTTTTTTTTTTTCTTTATTGAGAAGTATATCACTTATCTCTTATCATTAATTGATTTCTTTAACGAATCAACAATAGTACTATTACTGCTTAGTATTGTTAATTATTACATACATTAGTTGATGCCTCTTACTGATACTTACTTGACATTATCTACATTTCATTTATTTATTTATTTTCATTTTGTAAATATTTTATTTTAGTTATTATTTCACTTTTTTTTTTTGCATAATTTACATACAGATGATTCTTGTATCTTAGCCAAGAACTATATGGATAATTCCACATGCTATATGGTGCTTTATCAGTTCGAGAACGCGGTGAACTTCCCATATAACAATCATACCAGTAATCATCATACTGTAAATAATCATTATAATTATTATGATTTACTATGCATCCTATCGAATCTTACATTAATTTTTACTTTAAAAAAATATATCATAACGTAATATGACAAATTTACATTACAAAAAAAGAAAAATAATATTGATCCGTTTTTATATAAATTAATATTTTATAATTTACATATGTACACTGTAACAGATATACTGCAAATAATTTTTAATTTTTTTTTAGTAATTAAATTTATTCCTCTGAGTTAAAGACTTATTTTTAACATAGGTTTTAAAAGAATGCAAAAAAAAAGGAAAAAGGAAAACTATATTAAAACTTATTTTTTGAATAATTATTTAAAAAAAAAAAATGAAAGTAGTACTACTTATAATAGAAATAATAGTAATAGTAATAAAATTAATAATTTTGGTAGAGAAAATTTAGCATTGATGCATTAATCAAGTAAAAGCTGAATCAATAAAAGTTGTTTTCATCTGTTATTTGATGATCTGTGCAATTTTAATTTATTTCCATTTGTAATAAATGAAAAAAGATAAAAAAAAAGGGGGAGGTGAACTGGATTTTCTATTGTATGAAAAGTATTATTTACCTGTGTTAGATACCATTTTCAAATTTTATTATCCTTTTTTTGTGTATTTTTGAATTTTACAAATTATGAACACTTTTTTTTTTTTGCTTAAATTTGAATATATAAGTAAAGGAAAAATACAAAAATTCAATATATTTCAACATAAAATATTGTTGTCTTTTTTTTTTTGAATATTTTGTTAGCTGTCACAAATGTTATGAATTAATTAATTTATGCTAAATTGATGTTTTCTAAATGTTCACAACAACAAAAAATATACTAACCAAACTCCAATTTCTATATTGTTGATTTGGCCAAAATGTTGCATATTTCTCATCATTTGCTAATTTTTCCAATGATTTTGAGCGATATAACTGAAAAAAAAAAGAAATTAAGTATCTAAATTTAATCTGATTTTAAAGCAATTAGAAATGAAAATAGAAAGAATCTTTTCTTTTTTTTTGTAATTTAGAAATTTGAAATTATTGGTTTATTTTTTACGAATTTTTACACATAGGAAATGAAATTTAAAAAAATATGAATTACATTTCATACAATAGAAGCAATAAAGTATTCATTATCATCTTATTAATTCGAAATTACAACAAAAAGTTAAATCTCGAGCAAACATTATTATTATTATTATTATTAGATTACGAATTTAATTAAGTTTAAAATTTATGCTATGATTATTGTTTTAATCAGTTATTCTGAAAGAGAAACGAAAAATTTTCCTTACTTACCGGATATATTGGCTGCAATAATGGAGGCATTTTATTTGCAAATGATTGATAGAAAATTTTCGAAAATTTAAATATTCAATGGAATTTTCAATTTCTTTTTTCGACAATAGGCAAGCAAATACAAACGATAGTGAATAGTATTAGTTTGTGGGAAGAAATTAATTCAAAATCAACAAATATCCTCCATTCTTCTCTTCCCTTTCCTCTTTTTCCTCTTTCATTTGTTTCTATCTTTATTTTAATCATTCTTTCTCTTTTCTTTTCTTTTTTTTCACAGTTCTGAAATTTCACTTTAACTTTTCTATTTTAAAATTTGCTTACTCATTTGCCACAAAGTGGTCTTAGATTTTTTTTTTTTTCAATAAATATGTTGAGACTGAAGAAACAGCTGTTGCTTAATTTTAGCACAACAATGTTTTTCTTATTTATAAGCTAAAGTTAAATGCTAACTAGCTAAATTGAATCCACCAAAAAAAAAACCAATTTATTAGCAAATTTTTTATAATGTTTTATCGAATTTTAATAGATAATAGTTAAATTAATGGGGCAAGCATTTTTTCAAAAAATTTTTTAGCTAATAGAAGATTGATGAAGGCTTTAATCGAATTTATTTTAGAAAAAATTATTTGCTAAAAATTAGCGAAACTTATTGCTAATCATTAAATGAACGTTTAAAATAAAAGTAAGCATAGAAAAATTAAACAAGCCAAGAATTAATTTATCACTTTAAATTCATTCTTATTGGACTTAATTTAAATTATAAATTTAATTCTATTAAACATAATTGAAATATTCCTCCGGTTACTAGAACTTTTGTATGATGGAAAAAAATTTTAATAGCTCTGATTTTAAACCATTAAAATTTAAGGCGATTTTAAACGATATCTATCTCTTTTGCTTTTTCTTATCTCCTGTTAATTACATCTGATTCATAACTGTCCTTTATTCCTCGTATGGAAAAAATTAACTTTGCGCTGCTCAAAAATCAATTACTATTTTTTATCAAAAAAAAAACAAACAAACAAAAAATTTATTTTAATCAAAATATTTTCAGTTTCAAAAATTGTAGGCTTATAATCATCACATATTGACAAAAAAACTAAAAGTTGTAAAAAAAAAAAAATGAAAATTGAAGGTCTATTTGAAAAACATAAAAATCCGCTTAACAACCAGCAAATTGAATAACAATTGAATAATTTAGTTTACTATCATTGAAAACATTTATTATTATTATTTTTTGATTCAAATTTTAAAAAGTTTCATATGAATTTCATTGGTCAAAAATTATAATCTCTTGGTATCATCATATCCAAACTATTAAACATTTCAAGCTCATCTGGTTGGAAAAGTACCGTATGTTGGATACGGTGGAACAAAATCTTGATTAAATCGTCAAATTTAAACCATTTGTTATCAGTAGAAATCATTTCCCATATGTTTTCATACTTTTAAGTATTTCAATCAGTCTTATTCTTTTTACATTCCATTAGTTAAATTCAAATTCAAAAAAAAAGTGACACAATTATAGGAACTACCAAACATTCCTTTCTCACCTATTTAATTACCACTTACCTGATCCTGTGGTAATAATTACCTTATTTGTTGCCAATAACTCATAAGTCCATTAGTTATTCAATTAAATAATTTTTAAGACATTACAAAAGGCAATTAATCCACTTAAATAATTGTTGTCCTCCTTGCATTTCTATATTTTTTAAAAATTATTTTCTAAAAAAAAAAAGCATAAAAAATGTCATAAAAAGATGCACTGTAAATTATATAATGTTTGAGCAAAAACGAATAATTTTAAAAAATAAATTAATTTTAATCAAAAAAATCTGAACATTTTATTATTTGCTTATTCAGTTGTATATAATTACTTATTCTCATTTATTTAATTATTAATCATTTACTCAGTAATTTAGTTATTTATTTATTCGTTGCCAGAACTATTTATAATTAACGCAAATAATTACTCTCTTTGCTTTCGTTATTTTAAATTTATTTAATCATCTATTCACTAAAAAAAATACTTATTTACCTCATTAAATGATGCACAAATAAAAATTTAAAATTTAAATTATTAATATTGTTATTACTTTGTTATTGATATTTTATCAGTAACAGTTGTAGTGGTAGTGGTTAGTAGCAATAGTAGTAGTATTATTATTAAAATGATAGCAGGGAAAATGGACAAATTTAGCTTTAGCTTAGATATTTACGATGAGTCATCTGCCGATCGTAGCAGAAGTTCGAATCATCTTTGCTTCTCTTTTTGACTTCTATTTTTTTCCCATCTTTTCTTGCTTTCATATTGAATTTGAATGTAAAACTAATAGTTGAAATCTTTTTTTTTTTTTTTAACAAAAATTATTTAAAATTATTAAATAATTTCAAATTATTTCAATGATTTCATATAAATTTATTGATTTTAATTCAATTATTTTTTTTTCCATTCTTTCTTTTTTTTTTTACTTTCCCATACATACAGAATTATTTCTATTCATAAACAAAAAACGAACATTATGTAAAGTTTTTTTAAATTTTTTTTTTTTTAAATTGCAACTTTTTACACAAAAAAAGAAACTATCTTTGTAAATTTCTCTAAAGTTTGTAAATCTTTTTCCAATTTTTTTTTTTTTTTAAATTAAATAGATATTTTAATTAAATACAAAAAAGTTAATAGTTAGTTGACGAATATTAATCTGATCTAATGTGATCGGATGAGTGATCTAGAATATATTGCAGCTAATCTATTCAGTGAAGACTAATTTAATTTGAATTAATGAATATTAAAAATGTTTTAACTGTAATTGAAACAATGCATCAAAATATTTTATTACTGTTTGCTGCAATTTTTACAAAAATTTATTAAACTTTAAGAATTAAAATTATTTATTATTAAAAGAGCTAAAAAAATATTGTAAGAAAATATTTTTCACTTAATTTATTAGAGTGAAAAAGGTGAATAAATGTTTCTTAGAGTAATTTTATTCCGCAAATATTTCTGATAATCTTTATTCCTTTTTGAGGACAATAAATACAGTTACGCTCTAATTACTATTTTTTTTTCCATTATTTAAAAAAAAAAAAGAAAAAAATTGAGTTCTTTAAATTTATTTCCTAAAATAACCATTTCTAACTTCGAATTTGAAGTTTTTATGATATTAAATTCACTTTTATTTATTCATAACTTTTATTCATAACTTTGAAATTTATCACTAAACTAGTTTAATTTTTTAACTTTTCATTAAGTGAAAGAAAAAAGGAAAATAACTTCCTTTAATCTAACATTCATCAGATATTGATATAATCGATTTCTATTTTGATAAATTATTAATTGATAAATCCTTCCTCTATTCTCCCTTCCACTTCTTCCGCATCATTTTGCATTTTGCGGTGATTAAGCAATCAGCGCCATTTTCTACAGTTTTTAACACTTTCTCACTGATTCATTACTGATAAAATGTTTATCTGTGATTACTGGGAAACTAATCTTTCATGTCTGATAATTATCATTCTATTGTTTCAATATAATTTTTCATTATTTTACATAAGCAGTAAATTTTTTTTTCTTTTTCTGAAATAATTTGCATCTATTAGTATTTTAATAATTCAATGCATTCATTAAAATCTCATTAAGTTAATTACTCCTTACTCTCATTACTTTCCATTACTCAACTTCATTCATTATTCAATTTCAAATTCCAATTCTAATCAATCAAATCTCATCAATCAGAATCACTTAGCACTTATGTTATTCCTTTTCCTGTCAAAAATTTCTGCTTTTTCTTTTGCTAATTTCAACTTTATATATCATAATTTTCTCAAGAGCAATTCAAATATTGCTTCTAACGATATTAGCTCAGCAATGCTTGATGCTATCGAATTTACAAATCATAAATGAATGATATCAAATCATTAGTAATATAATTTTTTTTTTTTATTTATAAATATTGAAGTTGTTTTTTTTTACTTTTCAAATAATATATTGATGATTGCTGTACTGCTGGACTTCATTTATTTATACGTCATTTGTTTTTATCCAAAAAAAAATTTTTTTTTGACTAAAAATATTTTTAAATTCAAAATTTATGGAGTTAAATTTATATATTTTAGGAATATTGTAAATTTAATTTACATATAAGCTATAAAAAAATCTACAAATATGATTATAAAATTTCAAATAAAAAATTTTATTTTATTGCAATTTCGTTTTTGAAAAATCTGGAATCATTGTGATTTGAATAATTATAAGTTTGAAATTAAAGATAAGTTTGAAATTTCATAATGTACAAAACAAAAAAAAAAAGACAAAAACTAATGTATTTCTAATAACTTAAATGATACTTTTACTTATTTTATAACTTTGTTATTTTACTAGTTTAATTAAAATACAATTAAAATAATGAAACATGATAACTTATTTATTGATATTTCAAAAAAATGAATACAGTCACATCATTGGATGAAATTTGGGTGAAATTTGGATGAAAGATGGATCAGATATTATCATATTATCAAACATTTTTTTTTAAAATACATTTTTTGTGAAAAACGAAGAAAAACGTTTTAAAATTTCCGATTCATTTATCTCATCATTAATTATATATCTATGAAATACTATGAGTACGAAAGTGTAAAAGAAGAAAGCAAAAAAATGTAAGGAAATGATTACCCTTAAGTTTTTAACTTTCCAATAATTTACCCATTGAAATAAACAAAACAGAGCAAAATGAAAAATTAAAAGTAATTAGCAAACTTCTAGAAAAACAAACCAATCAAAAACGATGATTTCATTTCTGATATTTTGAAGAAATTAATTAAAAAGCATGAAAGCAACGATTACCATCAATTATAACTATTTTTTATTATTTCAACCGCTTAATTTATTTTGATTTATATTACTTACACTTCATAAAGTCTCAATTCATCACCATTTCATCGTTTTCATTTACTTTTCACAAAAATGAATATTACTTGAGAGAAAAAGAGAGAGGGAGGGGGAGAGAGAGAGAAGAAAAAAATCA